TACCTTGAACATCGCGCAGCGTATCGTGCAGACCGTCGATCGGATTAAGCTAAGAATTTCCTATATCGAAGCTCGCTCCAAGAGCTTCAAAATGAACCAAGTTGCCTCGCCAAAGGTTCTGCCATTACAAAGTTATGGCTCGGAGAGCGTTTGCCTAGCGTTGGAGTGCTAGCGTACTAGCGTTAACTCGGGCAGCATTCCGCCGTCGCACCGTGTAGAAACGAAATTCCAAGAAGGGAGGAATTCGCTTGAATCAAATTGACTATATCCAGGTACAAATAGAGAAGGAATAAATAGTTCTAGCTAGCAATGACCTTGGAAATAAACCTGGGAACAACCAAGGATGATCCCAAATAATCCCAAGCAACAGAACCAACCTGGCTGGACAAAACAGCAGGTGGTAGGCTGGTAAACAACCTCTGGTTCTGTTTTTTGAACCTGGGAAAACAACAACCAGGTTCAGGTCCTAAAAAACAGAACCTGTTTTGTCTTTGCCCAACCAGCCAAATGCTGGTTCCGCTGGTTTCCCCTAGCCCAGTAGCATGCGGATACAGACAAACAACATCCAACCTTCACTGAAATTGTACCCGTATAGTGCCTGCCCTGCTACACTATAGTCAACCAAACAAAACAGTACAATTTCGAGTTGGATAGAACTGAATCTGCGCAATCAATTCAACCGAACCGCAAAGCTTCCATCTTGGGTTCCTTTGCGAGCTTGTCCTTTCTGCTTGTACTGTTCATAGCACGTACAATGTTGTGCCAAAGCGCATAATGCGCGAGTACCTGCAAATGCTTCAAGCGTAAATCGCGAAAGCAAACAAACACACGAACATTCTGTTCACACCCAAAGGCATTCGCACACGCACTCGTACAAACAGACGGCAGGATGTCGTGCAATGTGAATTTGCACCCAACACACTCCCCATCAGCCTGCCGACTGCATCCCCATTATTCCATGCTAGTTCATGCCCATTCCACTCATGCGCACACAACGCCAATGTGGCTCATCCGCAAGCCTCTTGGTGAAGAAGTCTGCTGGCTGCTGGTGAGTCTTGATATAGATCGGATTCACCGTCCCCCTCTTCACCTCCTTACGCAGCGAGTGCCACTTGATACGCATTTGCTTGTTGAGCCCATGAAGCACAGCGTTCCTGGCCATCCCAAGAGCCCCCTTGCTATCATCCTCTGCAGCCTTCACAAGCTTCAATTCTACTGGTAGGGGAGTTGCAACCGTGCGCTCATTCTGAATCCCATACTTCTCCCCCAGCTCTTTGATGAATTTTTCCTGGTGCAGCTTCAACCACCTGTGATCTGGATCCCTCTCCACGTGCATCCCGAGGTAGTAATTTACCTCCCCAAGGTTCTTGCACTTGAGTTTTTCCATCAGCTGCTGCTGCACATTCTGGATCTCCTTCATGCTGCTGCTAAAGAGAAGAATGTCGTTCACGTAGACCAGAAATAGCACCAGCTTCCCCCCCTCCACCTTAAGAAAGAGGCTCTCATCACAGCTCCTGGTCCTTAATCCCATCTCCTCTAAAACAGCTGCCAACTTCTGGTACCAGCAGCGTGGCGCCTGCTTCAAGTAGTAGATGGACTTTTTCAGCTTGCACACCCTGCCCGTACCATCCTCATACCCAGGCGGCTGCATCATGTACACATCCTCCTCTAAAATTCCATTGAGGAATGCCGTTGATATATCCATCTGCATGATGAACTTCCCACTAACGCTTGCATCTGCCAACAAGACACGGAGGGTAGGGGGTTTGGCAGTGAGAGCAAAGATCTCATTGAAGTCCCGCTTCTCCTTTTGCATAAACCCCTCAGCCATCAGCCTACTCTTGTAGATGGTGACCTGTCCCTTGTCGTCGGTCTTGATCCTTAGCAACCACTTGCACTTCTTACCCTCAGGCAGCACCACCAACTCCCATGTCCCATTCTCTAGCAGGCTCTGGAACTCAGAATCCCAGGAAACCAGCCACTTCTCCCTATCTGGTCCAGCTAATGCCTCCTCCATGCTAGCTGGTTCCTCTGGTGCAGGGGCAAGAAAACAGTAGGCAGGTTCATCCTCCTCATTCGGATCATAGCCATGCGGTAGAATCAGCAATGCCTCCTTGGTCCGAAGCTGTTGCTCTGCTACATCAGCTCCTGCAGTCAGCTTCTTAGTAGCCATACGGGTACGTCCTGGCCTGGAGACAGGTGTTTCTCATCCCCTCATAATGACACCCTTCGGCTTCTTAGTTTTCCCCTGCTGCTGCTCTTTTCCATCAGATCGAGCAACTCCACTAGTGCTACCGCTAGCCTCCACACCATTGTTTTCACCAGCATGTGCCTCCTCCACCTTCTCTCCATCACCACCCTCTGCAGCTGCCTCCTCTCCCTCCTCCCACACACTAGGAGTCAGGTCCAGCTGCATGGTGATCTGCTCCATTTGCTGGGACACCCTGGCCTCCGGCTATTTCTCCTAGCTCCCATACATCATGCCCTCAACAAACTTCACATCCCTGCTGTCAAGCAATACACCCTTGGAAGGTTCCCACAGCAGCCATCCCTTGCTCTCAGCAGCCAGCCCCAAATGCACACACCACATTGCATCCGCCCCCAACTTACTGCAGTAAGTCTTGGGGATGTGGGCGACTGCCATGCAACCGAACACCCTCAGCATGTCCACCGGCGGCTTCCTCCCAAGCCACCTCTCCAACGGCACCCACAAGTCATCCCCAACCTTGGTGAGTACCCTGTTCCTAGCGACGGTAGCGTGCCGAACAGCATGGGGCCACATCAAGTTGCCCAGCCCAGATTCTATGAGCAGCGCCCTAGCTGTCTCCAAAATTTTCCGGTTCGCCCGTTCTGCTACACTATTGGACTGTGGGGTGAAAGTTGTGGTCAGCTCCCTTTGGATGCCCTACTTCTTGAGCCAGGCCGTCATCTCAGCTCCAAGGAACTCACCACCCCTAATCCGCTTCACCACACACTCGGCTTACTTCTCCACGAATGGCAGCCGATCTTCGCGTATCGTAGAGGCGGCGTGGTCCTTTTTCTTCAGCAGATATGCCCACATAAGCCTGCTCCAATCATCCACTATGGTCAGAAAGTACCGCTCCCCCTTGTGCCCCTGAACCGGCAGCGGCCCCACCAAGTCCATGTGGACCAGCTCCAATGGCTTCTTGCTCCTGCCAACCTCACTATGGAAGGGGAAACGGGTAAACTTTGAGAGCAAACAGATTTCACAATTCTTATCAGGTGGGTGTCCGTTCAGCTTCAGACCCTTAACGGCTCCATCTTTCTCCAACTGCTTCAACAAGGGCATTGCCACATGCCCCAAGCGTCAGTGTGCCGTTGCCCAATCCGTCTCCCCAGATCTGGCCGACACTTTCACACCAACCACCCCAACACCGTTGCACTCCCCTTGGGATGCAGACCCCTCTCCAGCCTGCCCCCCACCATGCCACGCCAACGCTGGCAGCTGCCACATGGATCTGTACACGTCCGTGCTCTCGTGCAGATCCCAAAGCACCCGATTGCCCAGCTGCCCCTTGTAAGTGCGTGCCCCATCCGTGCTAGTGCACACCCCAGCCTTGCCAAGCTTACGGAGGGAGATGAGGTTGGCCTTGAGTTCAGGAACGAAGAGAACGTCGTGCAGCACCACCGGCTTGCCATCCGCTCCCTTGAACGCAGCTCGTCCCGCACCAGCCACCTTCAGCGCGTGTCCAGAGGCGGAGCACACCTCGTTGATCGGTGCAGCGCGTACGTGGTCCAGCATGTCCTTGCGCGGCGTAATCGTCCAAGCAGCGCCCCTGTCCAACACCCAATAATCTAGGGGGTTCAATTGTTCTCCAACCATGGCAGAGGCGTCTCCTTGCTCCCCCCGCTCTCCAATATAGAAGAACTGGCCCGCGGTGCGCTCCTTCTTTTTCGCACCACCGTTGCTCTTCGGGTTGTTGTCGGACAAATCGGCGACCATGTTCGCGCCGTTTTTCTGGTTCCTCCACGCGTCGCCCACCTGGTGATGATTCTGGGGGGTCCATCCATCGGGTTTCTTATAGCACAAAAACCAGAGGTGCCCCTCCTTCTCACAATACCAGCAACTCCCTTTCATTTTGCCACCAGCACCCGACTTGCCCCCACGTCCAGATTTCGCACCGCGACCCCAACCGGTACCTCCTTGTTGGTCATTGGAGTTGTCGTCCTTCTTTGCACCGCGTCCAGCTCCACCGAAGCCACGTCCTCTGCCACGTCGGCTCCCTTGCATCCCGTAGCCGCTGCTGTCGTCGTCTCCACCCCTCAGTTGGCGGCGACGGAAGTCCTCCTCCAGAATCTTTGTCCGCACCCACTCGAGTGTCCACGAGCTCTGGTTCTACACCAGGCTCAATCCGCTCGTGAATTGAAGCCACAATTCCGGCAGCAGCGAGAGCATTTTCAAGCACTTGGTCTGCTCTGGGTAGGTAATTACCGCGGTCGCCAACTTCGCGTAGAGGTCGCGCATCTTGTCCAGGACAGGTTTCACTGGCTCTCCTTCGCTCATCCACAACGCGGACAGCTCCCTCTCCAGCATCAACGTTGCAACAACAGAGGTCGGGGCGTGCAGCTCCTTCAACACGGTCCACGCCTTCGGACCGCACTCAACCTTCGGCACCAGGTGCATGACGTGGTTGAGAAAATATGAACGAGAAAAATGGAATGACTATGAACGAAGTGAGTACAAATAGGAAACCCTAATTTGGGTTGTTCCCCCTATGGGATACCCCACTATAGCCTACAAAAACAAGTAAGCTATATGTTCTGACACACCCCCATAGGCAAAGTGGGGGAGAACAAGGGGTCACAAGACCAGTCAAGCAAAGCAAAGCAAAGCTCAGGGTGGATCACAAAGTCACCACGCATTCCAAGCACAAGTTCAAAGACCAGAAGGCCAGTTCACATGCAAGATCATATATAGAGATATACAAGAGTCAAGTAAGCAAGAGCAAGAGTATATATAGGCGAAGGTACAAGCAAGGTCAAGAGGAGAGCAAGTGAGGCAAGACAGGCATAAGACCCAACTGCGTGCAACAACGCTGATGATCACAAGGCGCAAGTGCCTTGGTGAAGACATCAGCAGTGTTGGCCTCAGAGGCCACGTACGCAAGTCGCAACTGTCCACGCTGCTGTAGCTCACGAGCAAGAAAGTAGCGGAGAACAATGTGCTTCGTTCTGTGCTCCAGTCGCTGCTCTCGACACAAGGCCAGCATGGCCTTGTTGTCTACGTACAGGACTGGAGGAGAACGAGGCTGCTCTCCAAGGTCGGTCAGCAGGTAGGTGAGCCAGCGTAACTCCTGTGCAGCCATAGCCCCAGCGTAGATCTCAGCCTCACAACTGGAGCCGAGAACAGAAGACGAGCGGGTAGCCCGCCACGAAACAGAGCCGGAACCAAGGCTGAAGGTGTAACCCTGTGACGACCGCTGCGTAGCCTGGTCGTCAGCCCAAGAAGCGTCTGCGTGCCCAGTGAGGACCACTGGACTGCGCCCTCCAAGCACTAGCCCCATGCCCGACGTACTGCACAGGTAGCGCAACACCCTCTTCGCTGCAGCCATGTGCTCTGGTCGGTGTCTCCCAGGAGCAACATAGCGTGCGAGAATGCTAAGAGGGTATGCAAGGTCAGGTCGTGTGCAGGTCATCAGGTACATGAGGCAGCAAACAAGCTCCGCAAACGGGCCACTCGACTCTACGGACTCATCCGAAGGCAGAGCTGAGAGCGAGTGGCGAGTAGGCAGAGGAGTGGCCTGAGGCGAGGAGTACGTGAAGCCGAAGCGCTGAAGGACCTGCTGCACCATGTGTGACTGAGTCAGGGTAATGGTGCGGCGTGCTCTGTCCCGGGTGATCTGCAAGCCAAGGTAGCTACGCAGTTCACCCAGGTCAGTGCACGTGTGTCTCTTCTGCAGCTCGGACTTCACATAGGCGAGTCCAGCAGTGTCAGCTGTGGCAAAGACCAAGTCGTCGACGTACACGAGGATGTAGAACGGCGGCAGCGAGGTGTCGGTGCGCAGAAACAGCGACGGGTCGGCAGTAGAAGGAGCAAACCCAAGTGCCGCGAGCGTAGTCCTCAGTGTGTCGTGCCACTCACGTGGCGCCTGGCGGAGACCGTAGACTGGACGCCGGAGGCTCCACTGGGTACCAGGAGGGAAAGACCCAGTGAAGCCAGGTGGGCGACGCAGCCAGATCTCCTCGTGCAGGCTGCCCTGCAAGAAAGCGGTGCTGAAGTTGAGAGAGTGGAGCTCGTAGTCACGGTGAGCAGCAACGTGCAGTACAACCCGAAGAGTGGTCATCTTCGGGGTGGGGGAGAAGGTCTGAAAGTAGTCAACCCCTTGCCGCTGACTGAAGCCACGAGCCACGTAACGCGCCTTGAAGACAGGCGGAGAACCCGGCGGCCGCTTCACCCTGAAAATCCACATGCCACTGACTATGTTCGCCCCAGGAGGGGGAACAGCGCCAACGTAGGTGCCTGTGGACTTCCAGGAAGCCATCTCTGCATCCACAGCTGCCTGCCACTGAGAGGAGTAGGGACCCTCTATCGCCTCCGCGTAAGAGCGCGGAGTCGGGATGTCTGGTGCATCCGGGTCTCCCTCAGGGGCTAGCAGTACAGACGCGAGATGAGGTGAAGCGGCGGCCAGACACTGGAACTCCTCCTGCCTGTCCTCAAGGACGTCCGTGCCAAGGGCACACTCACCCCCGACGGACGGAGGACAGGCAGACTCAGACTCAGCGACAAGACTGGCAGCGTAGTCTAGACGACAGCGCGCAGCAAAGTCGACAAGCTCAGTGACAAGGGCAGACGCAGCAGACGACTCGAAGGAAGGGTCAGTGACAGCAGTAGCAAGGAGACGCGTGACAGTAGGACCGGCAGCACGAAGAGAGTCCGACTCCGGGTCGGCAAGTGCAGGAAGAGAGGAAGCAGGAGGAGAAGGCAAAGGGGCACGCAGAGGAGCAGTGGACGGACGCAGTGACATCCGGTGCGTGCCAGGGACAGGAGGAGGACGCTGACGCGACCCGCGACCACTAGCGCGCGCAGTACGAACAGGCGACGCAGGACGAGACGCAGGCTCACGACGCTCAGTAAGACCTCCAGTCGGACCAGCGTAGGGAGAAGGAGCAGGCAAAGGGGAGGCAGGCTGTAGCGGTGGCTGTGACTGGACAGGCCGCGGACCCTCTAAGGGAGGAGGAGGAGGACCAGGAGAAGGTGTAAGACCAAGAACCTGCTGCAGGAGCGGAACGAAGTACGGTCGGGGCCGCGCGGCGACGCCAGAAACAGCAGGGACAGAACTAGTACCCCCAGCAGGAGTACCCGCTCCAGCAGCACCTCGAGCAGCACCTCCAGTAGCTCCAGAACCTCCAGCAGCACCACCAGGAGCACTGCCAGGCGGACCGCCAGCGGCAGTCCCAGTGCCAACACCCTCAGCTGCACCAGCTCCAGGAGAAACCTCAGACCCAGCAGCTCCAGTACTCCCAAGACGAGCACCTCCGGGACCCGCGGCAGTGGCACCCTCTGCAGGCGAAGAACCTCCAGCACCAGCAGTACGCCTCCAGCGCCTGGCAAACCACTCACGCAGCTCCTGTGGGGAGAGTGGCTCACGGCGAGACGAAGCACCTCCAGGCACAGCACCCCCAGGCACAGCACCCCCAAGCTCAGCACCCCCAGGCTCAGCACCCCCAGGCTCAGTACCCCTAGGCTCACCACCCCCAGACTCCGCACCCCCAGGCTCAGCACCCCCAGGCTCAGCACCCCCAGGCTCAGCACCCCCAGACTCCGCACCCCCAGGCTCAGCACCCCCAGGCTCAGCACCCCCAAGCTCAGCACCCGCAGCAGCACCAGAGTCACCAGTAACCTCGACAGGCTCGACCGCGTCTACCTGGGACACACCTGAAGGGGCAGGACCCTGAGGGGGGAGGGGGTCAACCGGGGGGGGACCTGGTACCAAGAAGAGCGGGGGCGGGGGGAGGGAAGGAGTGCGGTAGGGGAAGAGGCGGTAGTAGGGTACTGACTCGTCGAACGTGACGTCCTGGGAGGACAGAACACGTCGAGAGGTGGGGTGGTAGAACTGCCACCCAAGGGCGTCGGGGGGGAACCCCAGGAAGACGCAGGGAGAAGCGCGAGGGGACAGCTTGTCCGCAGTCAGGTCGCGGACAAACGCCCTAGATCCCCAGACCCGGAACGCAGACGCATCGCCAACCTTCCCCGTCCACAGCAGGGCTGGGGAGGTATCCGGCCTGGAGACCCTGGGGTGGAGGTTGATCTGATGCGCTGCATACCTGACCGCAAACGGCCACAGAAAATGGGGGGCAGCCGCATGCATCATGGACGTACGGGCGACGTCCATGACCATGCCAATGCGGCGCTCAGCAATCCCATTTTGCTGCGGAGAGTCCGGAAGCGTGAAGGACTGGCGGATGCCTCGCGCACGACAGTAGGTACGTAGAAGGGCAGAGGAGAACTCTCCGCCTCTGTCCGAGTGCAGACGCAACACAGGAAAGTCGGAGCCAAAGCTCTGCCTGAGCTGAAGACGAGCTGCGCGGATCCAGTCGATCAGCACCTCAGTGACCTCACCCTTGCTGCGCAAGGGGAAGACTGTGGTGTAACGCGAGTAGTCGTCAACAACGAGCAGGAAGTAGCGCTCCTGACCCTGTCCAAGGACGCGGGCTGGGCCCCACACGTCCATGTGAAGCGTCTGCAACGGGGCCTCTGTCGGAGGAAACTGGGAGGAGTGAGGGGCAGCACGCTAGCGCCCCTCGACACAGGGGACACAGACAGGGCCAGGGCCCTGAGGAAGGGGAGGGAGGGACCGGGGAAGACCAGACACAAGAAGACGGGAGGCCATACCTCTGAGCCGAAGCAGAGAGGGGTGGCCAAGGCGGTGGTGCCAGAGGAGGGTCTCGTGAGACAGACGACGACACGAACAGGGGGCAGACTCAGGGCCAGACCTGGACGCTGCAGCAAACACCTGACCAGACGAAGGGACCCTGCCAGACTCAGTACCTGGAGGAGAAGCAGTGGTCAGTGTGTACAGGCTCGACCCCGGCCGACGTGTAAACGTAGCCAGGTGGCGACCTGTGCTAGCCTCCGTGCAGTGTGTCACCCGCTGACGAGCAGGAGTGAACTGGTGGACACCCACATCCTGTAGGTCAGCACCACTCACCAGGTTCGTCGAGAACGAGGGGAGGTAGAGACCAGACAGGGTGCCAGAGGGGGCCGCCGGACACGGAAGGACCGTGGAGAAGCGAGACAGGACAGGCCCCCCAGAGGGGTCAGCCAGGGACACCGCAACCGGCCGACTCAGCGGCGTGAGAGTGGTGCGGTCCCGAAAGAAGGAGCGAGACGCTCCAGAGTCAAGGGTGAAGGTGTGAGAGGCCGAAGCCGACACAGTACCTGAGAGGGCAGACTCACCAGTACCTGAGAGCACAGACGCACTGGCACCTAGAGCAGCAGCCTCACGAGTACCTGACGCAGCAGTACCAATGCCCGGGTCGGGCGGGAAACACCGGTAACAGTCATCCTCATCACTACCAGTCACAGCATACATAGCAGAAAGAATAGCATCAAAGTCAAGATCATAAATGGCTACACCAGCCCTAGACAGCTCCCCCCAGCGGGGGATCTCAGCGGCCTCCGGAAACTGCTGACGCCAGGCGTCGGTCAGGCGGCCAAAGCAGCGGCAGGCTGTGTGGGTGCCTCCACACCTCTCCCCCGCACGGTCGCCGGTGCGAAGAACGTAGGGGCAGGGACCAAACGCACCACCACGCTGACGCTGCAAGTACCACTCACGGAGCTGCTGAGGGGCGGGGACGGTGCGAGAGCGCTGCTGCTGCTGCAGCTGCTGGCGCTGACCACCCCCAGAGCTGCTCCGCTGAGACGAGCCACCCCGACCCCCGCCGCCACCGCCACCCCCACCTCCACCGCCACCCCCGTCTCCACCGCCACCGCCCCCACCGGCACCCTCACCCCCGCCTCCTCCGCTACCTCCTCCGCCGCCACCTCCGCCTCCACCGCCTCCACTAGTACCTCCACTCCCGCCACCACCTCCACCGCCACCCCCACTCCCCCCGCCACCCCCACCTCCCCCGCCACCGCCCCCTCTAGCTCCACCCGCTCCCTTGCCCCCTTTGCCCTTGCCATTGCGGCGTCTACCGCTGGGGGCAGACGCCGCACCGACCGACTCAAAACCAGCGAGGTCGGCCGCAGCGGCAGAGGCGACAGAGGGCAGCAGGGGGGAAGGAGAACACCCCTAAAAAATGGGGGTGCGAGGGTCACCCCGAGAGGCCCCTACAGCGACAATGCTCTTCTCAGCCGCTAGCAGGGACTCCTCAAGGAGGTCGACAGTGAGGGTGGTGGGACAGACAGAGAGAAACTGGTCCCTAACTACACGAAGGGACTCAGGGAGACGAGTGACGAGAAAGTAGAGAGTGATGTACATGGGAGGAGGGTTTGCGGCGCGGAACTCAGCAGGAAGGGCAGCGCGCTAGCGAGCGTCACTAGCGCGGAGGTGGGTAAAGAGGTCAGCAACAGTGGGAAAGGCAGCGAGGTCAGGGAAGAGAAACGGTAGCATGAGGCGGCTAAGCGTAGCGGAGGAAGGGGAGGAGTAGTGTGCAACGACAGCGTCGTACAAGGCCTGAGCGGTCTTGCACTGACTAAAGTGGGCACGCTCGGAGGAAGGGAGGTGGCGACGCACAGCAAGACGTGCAGCAGCATCGCGGGTCGCCCACTTGGAGCGAACGGCGGGGTCAGCATCAGCAGGAGGGGCAGGGATAGCTCCAGAGACAAAGTCAAAGAGAGAGACCTCATCTATCGCATCACACAGTAAGTACTGCTGCAGGTCTTCAATCCAGACTGCAAAGTCAATGGCTCTACCCTCAGCGTCAAAAGCTAGGACAATGGGGGTGGCCATGACAGCAGCTGACAGTCTCACCGGGTAGGAAAAGTCGGGTAGGTCAGCGGCACTGTAACACAGCCAAGGAGCAGCAGTGGCCCCACAGGAGCAGGAGTGCGGCTCCACTGGCGGCTCGGGTGGCTCGGGCGGCTCGGGCGGCTCGGGCGGCTCGGGCGGCTCGCGCGGCTCGGGTGACGCAGGGGCTCACGGGCGGCTCGGGCGGCTCGGGCGGCTCGGGCGGCTCGCGCGGCTCGGGTGACGCAGGGGCTCACGGGCGGCGCGGGCGGCTGCACGGGCGGCTCACGGGCGGCTGGGGCTGCTCACGGGCGGCACGGTGGGCGGCTGCACGGGCGGCTGCACGGTGGCGCGGCGGGCTGCAGCACGGGCGGCGGGGCCGACGGTGGGCCGTAGCGGGGGTGTAGCGGGGCCGGCGGCGGGCTGGGGCGGGGCCGACAGCGGGCTGTAGCGGGGCTGTAGCGAGGCTGTAGCGGGGCCGACGGCGGGCTGTAGCGGGGCCGGCGGCGGGCTGTAGCGGGGCCGACGGCGGGCTGTAGCGGGACCGGCGGCGGGCTGGGGCGGGGCCGACAGCGGGCTGTAGCTGGGCCGGCAGCGGGCTGTAGCGGGGCCGACGGCGGGCTCTAGCGGGGCCGACGGCGGGCTATAGCGGGGCCGACGGCGGGCTGGAGCGAGGCCTACGGCGGGCCGACGGGGTCTAGGCGGGGCCAACGAGGGGCCGTAGCGGGGCCTAGGCGGGCCGACGGGGCCTAAGCGGGGCCGACGCGGGGCCGTAGCGGGGCCTAAGCGGGGCCGACGAGGCCTAAGCGGGGCCGACAGGGCCTAAGTGGGGCCGACGAGGCCTAAGCGGGGCCGACTAGGGGCCTAAGCGGGGCCGACGAGGGGCCTAAGCGGGGCCGAAGAGGGGCCTAAGCGGGGCCGACGAGGGGCCTAAGCGAGAGCACGGTGGTACGGGCGACACGGAGGGTCGCTTAAAAAAAAAAAAACGCGCGCCTCGGGGCGCGCTTCGGTGGGCCCTAGGAACAGTCCCTAGGAAGGGACCTGCTCTGATTCCATGAGAAAATATGAACGAGAAAAATGGAATGACTATGAACGAAGTGAGTACAAATAGGAAACCCTAATTTGGGTTGTACCCCCTATGGGATACCCCACTATAGCCTACAGAAACAAGTAAGCTATATGTTCTGACAGTGGTGACGCTGGTTCAGCTCCAAACTCTGCGACATCAAATAGTAGCGAGCCGAGGAGCGCTTATCCCAGTCTTCCTGCAGCATGGGGTTACTCGGTCTAGGCTCCTCCCCAATCATTAGTTTCAGCAATCCAATCTGACGGAAATAGAGTTGCATCTTCCAGGCCCAATCATCATAACCCTCACCGTTGAACTTCTCGACGGTGAAGTTCTTCAGCACCTCCTTGACCAGCGAGCCCTGGTTTGTTCGCGCTCCCCTTGGCACTGAAATACCACAATCTTGGCTTCCGCTACGATCTTGGGCTAAAGATTCACCAGCTCCCGTCGAGGTGTTGCCCGCCATAGCTACCTATAACGAGGATCACTATAACGCAGCTCTGATACCAGCTTCTTGGTGTAAGGGCCTAATAAACTCAAGCTATTAAGACATAATCAAACTTAAAACCTCTCCTCGGGGTCCCTTCCAGGGGTCCATGGGTGTCTGGTACAAGACCAGCCCCTATCCTCGGGTCCGAGTTTGTAGAGAGAGGAGTCAAGAATGACTTAGCCAAAATAAGAAGAGTACCTTGAACATTGCGCAGCGTATCGTGCAGACCGTCGATCGGATTAAGCTGAGAATTTCCTATATCGAAGCTCGCTCCAAGATCTTTAAAATTAACCAAGTTGCCTTGCGAAAAGTTATGCCATTACGAAGTTATGGCTCGGACAGCGTTTGCCTAGCGTTGGAGTGCTAGCATACTAGCGTTGACTCAGGTAGCATTCCGCCCTTGCACCGCGTAGAAACGAACTTCCAGGAAGGGAGGAATTTGCTTGAATCAAATTGACTATATCCAGGTACAAACACAGAAGGAATAAATAGTTATAGCTAGCAAGGACCTTGGAAATAAACCCGGGAACAACCAGGGATGATCCCAAATAATTCCAAGCAACAGAACCAACCTTGCTGGACGAAACAGCAGGTGGTAGGTTGGTAAACAACCTCTGGTTCTGTTTTTCCAACCTGGGAAAACATCAACCAGGTTCAGGTCCTAAAAAACAGAACCTGTTTTGTCTTTGCCCAACCAGCCAAATGCTGGTTCCGCTGGTTTCCCCTGGCCCTATAGCATGCAGATACAGATAAACAACATCCAAAATTCACCTAAATTGTACCCCTATAGTGCCTCCCCTGCTACACTATAGTCAACCAAACAAAACAGTACAATTTCGAGTTGGTTAGAACTGAATCTTCGCAATCAATTCAACCGAACTGCAAAGCTTCCATCTTGGGTTCCTTTGCGAGCTCGTCCTCTTTTCTCGTACGATTCATAGCGCGTACAATGTTATGCTGAAGCACACAATGCGCGAGTACCTGCAAATGCTTAAAGCAAAAATTGCAAAAGCAAACAAACACACGAACATTCCGTTCACACCCAAATGCATTCGCACACGCATACTCATACAAACAGACGGCAGGATGTCGTGCAATGTGAATTAGCACCAAACGAAATCTGAGGTTAACACATAAGAAATGCTGACAGAGGGTGTAGCGAGAGGTGTGGTGGAGTATTTGTACATTTGTGAATAAGCGAATCACTCAACACCGAGGAACAGCAACTACAGTGGTGAAGCAGGGCGCGGCACTCGGCAGTGTGGAGGGCACCAAGAGTTTGAATGACCGACACGGCGGCGGGCTTTGCCGAAGGGAGATATGCTGGCAGGGTTGGCAGTAGGATAATGTGTGTGTTGTGTGCATGTGTTTGTTTCGTTTCTTTTGCAGACACCGAATCCAGGAGGAAGCTGGAAGAGGGGATCGCCAGATGGAGGTAGGCAGAAGCACAGGGTGGATGGCTAGCTAGTAGTCAGGAAGAACAACAATTGTTAGGCTAGGGTTTCAGTGAGCAGCTTATGGGGGAATCCTCGGCCATCGGACTGCCACTGCGTGTTTGTTTTCGTGAATTACTGCAATTCCTTTCAAGATAAGCAGTTTCCAACGGAGCCATAGCTGCAGTCGGAATGACATAGGAAAGATTAGAGCTTACAAACACGCAGTCTATGCAATTTCGGTCGGGTCGACTGTAGAAGGAGTGAAGGTGAAGCACGCGGGAAGCGTAGAGTTGAGAATAACCAGGCGACGAATCAGCCACTAGAGACGGGGGGAACGGAAGGGCGGAATGGGCCCAGCAAAGGAGCGAGCGGAACGTACGACGGTGCTTGCATAGATGTAAAGGATGGCGATGATAATGCTTCCGGAGGGTCAGAGGAACGCCAGCGAGGCCAGCCCCAGGCGTGCTTGCAGCAAGGCGGACCAAGCGGATACCAGTGGAGTGCCTCGTGGTAGGTTACGGAAGACGAGACGACGGTTTAGTGCTGGAGAACCTTCAAGACGCTGGGCGAAGGATCGATTGGATCCGGAAGAGTTCTTCCATGGGCTAGCAAATACACTGGCGGAGGAGGTGGAAACGTGCTACCGGATCTCCCGGAAGGAACTAATGGAATGGTCAGCGGGTCGAGCGCCGAGTGAGTGGGACCCCACATCGCGCTTCTTGGCGATGCTCCGCGAGCAGTTTCCCTTGCATGCGGCTGAGAGAGTGGTGCAGTTCCGGAGCTTCAGGCGCAAGGAAGGGGAATCCCTGCTAGCATACTACGGCAGGCTTGTGGAGCTGGGAGAAGACATGAACTGCACGGATCAAGGGCGTCTCATTGGGAAGTTTGTAAATGGCTTAAGCCAGCCCCTGTAGCAAAATGTATAGGTGCGTGTGTTCGAGTTGGGGCCGGAAGCTACGCTAAGGGAGGCATACAAAATTGTCAAATGCATGGAAACAGGGCGACGACTGTATGAGGTGGAACGGACGGCACATCGAGGGCCAGAGAGGAGGCGGCCGGCGTGGGCGGCAACTACAACTTATCCGGAGCCGAAAGAGCGCGAGAGATAGGATGCATAGTGCTATCACAATTGCGGCTTGCCGGGGCATCTACGCCAGGACTGTCGGAACCCGGCGGCATGTTCGTTGTGCGGGAGTTGTGACCACATGTGGAGAGAATGCCCATGAGCACCCATCTGTGCTTGCTGCGGGAGGAAAGGCCATCCCAAGGCAATTGCTACACAGGCCGACGGGAGCGCAGGGGGGCTGAAGGAGGGGAGGACCGGCAGGCCACTATGGCGCGCTTGCGCGCCCAGCTGGCAGAACTGGAGGCGTCAGAGCAAAAGCAGCCCGCCATGGTGGCGCAGGAGGAGGAAGAGCTGAACGAACCGGATTTTATGCTGATGGCTCAGCCAGTGCGCAATCGTGATGAGCTGGGCTTGCGGAGGGCCGCGCGGAGGCTAGTATTTCCAGAAGATGAACGGCGGGAAGACGGACCGGGGAGGCGGGCCAATGAGAGCGTGGACGTGGATGGGGCAGCGTACCAGCATCCACGGGAAAGGATGACGTGCCAGGCCACAGTGCTAACGATTGCAGCAGGGGCAATCACAATTGGAGGACTGGCGGCGCAACGGGCAATTGTGGATACGGGGGTGGCTCACGTGCTCATTGGGAGACGCTTGGTGGAGAAACTACAGCTACACAAGCTAGGGCGGCTGATAGCAGAAGGGTATTTGCTGATGACCGCGGATGGTGGAGAGGCTAAGTGGATGCCTAAGACTCGGCGGTCGATGGCGCTGATGCTGAATCCGAGAAACTCAGAGAACTGCACGTTGCGGGTGTACTGCGGAGTGTCAAAATCGGAAGACTTCGTTCTGCTGATAGGGGTAGAGCACCTGTTCGGAATCGGCGCAACCATATACATGTGGGAGGAGAAGGTGCGGTGTCGGATATGCGACTGGGAGAATGATGGGCCCATCGGCACACTACCGGTTCGCTTCGTGCGGAGGGAGCCGAGAGAGGCATACCATTGCACCAACACGAAGAGGTTGTTGGGGCCTACGGTAGTGCTTGATCTCTTCGGGGGCATAGGAACCGGGCTGGCAGCGGTGCTGAAGTCGGGTATATGCGTGGAGAAATGGATCCGGGTTGAGAGAGGCATCCAGGCAGCCAAGATGGCAGTGAGGCACGCGGACAACCTGCACAAGAGATACCCACACCAGTTTTGCTCGCTAACGATGGAGCAGAGTATGCAATGTGGGGCCTGCGACATACGCCAGATAGATGAGCATCAGCTACGCATTGGGGGAGGATCGACGTGGTGATTGCTGGATGGGAAAGTCACGGTTACTCTCGAGCGGGAGCTGGCAGAGGCACGAGGGACGAGCGGAGCAGCCTGTCTCGAGAGCTCGTACGGATGCTAAGGCTGATAAAGCGGATCTAAGGAGACGTGCTCTACATCATAGAGAATGTGGATCTTAACGTCATACACTGGCTGGTGGCAACAATTAGGATGTACCACTCACAGCTGCGTTGGGAGCGGAAGCGGGACAAAGCGGCGGCGGTGGAACCGTCAGCGGAAAAGGAGGCACTGGCACGGACCATGTTAGGAGAAATCCAAGATCACGAAGAGATGCAGCATGAGTGGGGGCATTCGTTAGAGAGGAGGTGGGTGTACCCCTGGGAAGAGGATGACAAGAGACCGGCAGTGTACGCGGAACAGGCGGAGATTTGGCTCCCAGGAGACCGAGGGGAAGAAGCGGTGGACAAGAAGCGCGGGGACTTTAGCTGGCTAGAAGATGCCATTGAGAGGCAGAAAACCAGGGAGCTATGATCGAGAGTTCAGATCTCGGGACTTGGCGCTCATGGCTGCGACAAAGGAGGAGGATCACACACGAGCGGAGACGCAGGATGCAAGGGAGGTTGAGGGAATAGAAGGGGCGCCACAGGCGACAATACGAGCGGACGATCCAGAACGGCCGAAGCAGGGGGGCGAAGTGTCGGAAAATAACGAGCAGGAATGAATGCATTGAGCAGAAAGTTGATACAAGTATGACCCTAATTGGGTCGTACCCCATACAGGCTACCCCACTACAGCCTACACAGCACACACAGCATGAAGTTTGACACACCCCCATTGGAAAAGTGGGGGAGAACAAGGGGTCACAAGACCAGTCAAGAAAAGCAAAGCAAGCTCTGGGTGGATCAAGAAGTCACCACACACTCTGAGCACCAGCAAATGGCCACAAGGCTAGTTTACATGCGGAGTTATTTAAATGGGAATAAGCAGTACAGTGATCACAACCTAGCATGTGTAAGCATGCAAGAACAAGTATATAGATCACAGTACAAGCAAAGTCACAAAGTGAGCAAGTGAGGCATAGTAGGCACAAGGCCTAAAACAGTACAGAAACGCTAATGATCACAAGGCTGAAGTGCCTTGGTGAATAAATCAGCAGTGTTGGCCCGAGTGGGCACGTAAGCAAGACAAACCAGACCACGCTGCTGCAACTCTCGAGCAAGGAAGTAACGCAGAGCGATGCGCTTCTTCCTGTGCTCCAGTCTGTGCTCCTGGCCACAAAGCAATCATGGCCTTGTTGTCTACGTACAGAACTGGATGAGAACTAGGCCGCTCTCCCAAGTCGGCTAGCAGGTAGGTGAGCCAGCGTAATTCCTGTGCAGCCATGGCCCCTGCGTAGATCTCAGCGTCACAACTGGAACTGAGAATAGAAGACAAGCGGGTAGACTGCCAAGAAACATAACCAGAGCCAAGGCTGAAAGTGTAACCCTATGACGATCGCTGCGTAGCCAAGTCGTCAACCCAAGACGCGTCTGCGTGTCCAGTGAGGAAAACTAGACCCCGTCCTCCAAGCACGAGCTCCATGCCCGACGTACTGCACAAGTAGCGCAACACCCTCTTAGCGGCCTCCCAGTGCTCTTGTCGGTGTCTCCCAGGCGCAACATAGTGTGCCGGCATGATGAGAGGGTAAGCAAGGTCAGGTCGAGTGCAGGTCATCAGGTACATGAGGCAGCCCACAAGCTTTGGATACGGGCCACTCGGCTCTACGGACCGAAGGTGGAGCTCAGAGCGAGTGACCGGTAGGCAGAAGAGTGGATTGTGGCGAGGGCCAAGAGAAGCCGAAATGCTGAAGGACCTGCTGCACCATGTGTGACTGAGTGAGGGTGATGGCGTGTCGTGCTCTATCCTGGGTGATCTGCAAGCCAAGATAGCTGCGCAGCTCACCCATGTCTGTGCATGTGTGTCTCTTCTACAGCTCCGACTTTGCTAGAGTTAGTGCCTCAGTATCAGCAGTGGCAAAAACCAAGTCGTCGACGTACACGAGGATGTAGAACGGCGGCAGCGAAGTGTCGGTGCGGAGAAACAGCGACGGGTCAGCAGTCGAAGGAGCAAACCCAAGAGCCGCAAGTGTCATCCTTAGTGTGTCGTGCCACTCACGAGGCACCTGGCGGAGACCGTAGACTGGCCGCCGGGGGCTCCACCGGATACCTACCGGAACCGACCTAGCGAAGCCAGGTGGGCGGCGCATCTAGATCTCCTCGTGCAGAGTGCCCTATAAGAAAGCTGTGCGGAAGTCAAGAGAGTGAAGCTCATAGTCATGCTGAGCGGCGACGTGCAGCAGCACCTGAAGAGTGGTCATCTTCAGGGTAGGGAAGAAGGTCTGGAAGAAGTCAACTTCGTGGCGCCGACTAGAGCGTATAGCAACGTAACGAGCCTTGAACACTGGCGGAGAACCCGGCGGCCGGTTCGCCCTGAAAATCCACATGCCATCGACTATGTTCACCTCAGAAGGGGGAACTACATCGACGTAAGTGCCTGTGGACTTCCAGGATGCCATCTCTGCGTCCATGGCTTTTTGCCACTGAGAGGAGTAGGGACCCGTAATCGCCTCTGCGTAAGAGCGTGGGGTCGGGATGTCTGGAGCATCCTGGTCTCCCTCAGGTGCAAGCAGCATGGACACGAGATGAGGTGCAGCACCCGCAAGACACTCAAAATCCTCCTGCCTGTCCTCAAGGTCGTCCATGCCAAGAGCACACTCACTTCGGACAGACAGACTCAGACGCAGCAAGAAGACTAGCGGCATAGTCGAGACGACAGGTAGCATCAAAGTCGATAAGCTCAGCAACTAGGGCAAACGCAGCAGTGGACTCAAACGACGGGTTGGTGATAACAATGGCTAGAAGACGTGTGACAGCAGGACTGGCAGCACGAAATAATTTTAGACTCAGGGTCTGGACCGTCAGGAACAGAGGACGCAGGAGGAGATGGCAGGGGAACTCGCGGTGGAACAGAGGAAGAACGAAGTGTCATACTGTTAGTGCCGGGGACAAGAGGAGGACGCGGACGCGGACCACGACTACCAGTGCAACCAGCGCAAATAGGCAAGGTAGGGCAAGACGCAGGCTCACAACGCTCTGTATGAGAGTCTGTCTGCTCAGTGTATGGAGAAGGAGCAGGTAGTGGGGAGGCTGGCTGTAACTGTGGCTGCGAATGGTCTGACGGTGGACACAATAGAGGCAAGGTAAGGCCAGTAGAAGACGGGAGACCAAGAGCCTGGCGAAGCAGTGGAACAAAGTACGGTTGCGGCCGCACAGCGCCTCCAGTACCAGTACCGACAGCTCCAGCACCCCCAGCTCCAGTGCTTGCAGCACCACCAGATTTAGCAGCTCCAGTACCTCCAGTACAGGCACCTTCGAGACTAGCAGCACCACTACCAGCTCTAGCAGTTCCAGTACCTCCAGTACGAGCACCTCCGGGACCAGCAGCTCTAGCACCTCCAGCACCTCCTGCAGCACCACCACCACCAGCTCTAGCAGCTCCAGTACCTCCAGCACGAGCACCTCCGGGACCAGCAGCTCCAACACCTCCAGCACCTCCAGCAACAGTAGCACCACCAGCTCCGACAGCTCCAGCGCCTCCAGCACGAGCACCCCCGGGACCAGCAGTGCTAGCACCACCAGCACCTCCAGCACCAGCGGCACCAGTACCTCTAGTGCCAGCGCCTCCAGCAGTAGTGCCTCCAGCTCCAACAGCACGAATCCGAAGGCGGGTGCGCCAAGCATACCACTCGCGCAGCTGCTGTGGTGAGAGAGGCTCCCGTACAGTAGACGCAGGACCCCTAGGCTCAGCACCCAGAAATTCAGCACCAATAGGCTCCGCACCCACAGGCTCAGCACCCCCAAGCTCCGCACGCTCAGACGCAGCACTCCTAGGCTCCAAACCCACAGGCTCAGCACCCCCAGGCTCCGCATGCTCAGGCTCAGCACTCCCGGGCTCAGCACTCGCAAGCTCAGCACCTCCAGGCTCCGCATCCACGGCTCAACACCCCCAGACATAGCACCTCGAGAAGCACCAAAGTCACCAGTCACCTTGACAGGCTCAACCAAGGGGAGTGGGTCTACCTGAGACACACATGAAGGAGCAGGACCCTGAGGGGGGAGGGGGTCTACCGGAGGGGGACCTGGAGCGAGGAAGAGCAGCAGGAGGGGGAGAGGGACAGTGCGGTAGGGGAAGAGATGGTAAAAGGGAATAGACTCATCAAACGTGACGTTCTGAGAGGGCTGGATACAGCACGAGGTGGGGTGGTAAAAATGCCAGCCAGGCGCGTCAGGGGGAAAGCCAAGGAAGACGCAGGGAATGGCGCACGAGGATAGCTTGTCCGCGGAGGTATCACGGACAAAAGCACGACAGTCCCAGACCCGGAACACCGATGCATCGCCAACCTCTCCCGTCCAAGGTAGTGTAGACGAGGTTGGCAAGGAGACACGGGGCCAGAGGTTGAGCTGATGCGCAGCGTACTCGACCACGAACGGCCACAGAAAATGGGGAGCAGCCGCATGGATCATGGAGGTACGAGCGACCTCCATCACTAAGCCAATGCGGCGCTGGGGTTGGAGGGAAACTCACCATCTCTGTTAGAGTGCAGAAGCAGGATAGGAAGGTCCGTGTCGAACCACTCGCGGAGCTGAAGACGAAAAGCACGGATCCAAGGGATCAAGACATCAGGGACCTTCCCCTTTCTGCGCAAGGGGAATTCTGTGGTGTAACGCGGATAGTCGTCAGCAGCCAGCAGGGATTATTGCTCTCAGCCCTGTCCCTAGACGCGGGCTGGGCCCCACACGTCCATGTGGAGAGTCTGCAGGGGAGCAATCATCGGGGGAAACGAGGAAGAGTGAGGAGCGGCGCGCTGCCGCCCCTCGACATAGGGAAGGCACGGAGGGGCAGGCGATGGTGGGAGGGAAGGCAGAGACCTGGGAAGACCAGAGACAAGGAGGCGGGAGTGCATGCCACGGAGGCGTGGCTGGGAGGGGTGACCAAGGCGGTGGTGCCAGAGGAGAGTCTGGTGCGACAGGAGGCGGCACGAACAGAGGGCTGCTAGCTGACATGACGCGGACGCAGACGCAACTATCTGAGGAGGCTCAGTAGTCAGTGTGTACAGGCTCGACCTAGGCTGACGGGTGAACGTGGCAAGGTGACGGCCCGTCCGTGCACACGTGCAGATCGCCACACGCTGTTTTCTAGGGGTAAAGGTATCAACCCAAGCATCCTGAAGGACGGCGTTGCTCACCAAGTTTGTAGAGAACAAGGGGAGGTGAAGACCTGATAGTGAGCCAGACGGGACCGCCGGACACAGGAGAATAGTGGAGGAACGTGCAAGAACCGGTCCCCAAGAGGGGTCAGCCAGAAAGATTGCAACCGGTGCTGTGAGTGGTGTGACTGTGGTGCTGTTGCAAAAGAAGCAGCGGGAAGCACCTGGGTCAAGCGTGAAGGTGTGGAAGGCCTCAGCAGGCGTAGTACATGAGAGAGCAGACTCACTAGCACCTAGAGCAGTAGCCTCTATACTAGGGTCGAGCGGCACATACAGGTAATAGTCACCCTTGGTACCAATAGTCGAAGCATAAATGGCAGTCAGGATAGCGTCATAGTCTAGAGCAAAGTTATCCACACCCTGCCTAAGCAGCTCTAGGTAGCGGGGAAGCTCAGCCGCGTCGCCAAAATCTGCGCGCCAGGTGTCGCTCGGTCAGGAGAAGCAGCGGGACTGTGTGTGACCAACTGTCCCGCAAGTCTGACCAGCCCAATCACCTGTGCGAATGACGTACGGGCAGCGAGCACTAATCCAAGACGCCCCACGCTGAGCGTTCCACTCACGAAGCTGCTGGGGCATAAGGGTCTCGCGCGGATGCTGCTGCAGCTGCACCAGGCCCCCGCTAGAAACTCCCAACTGAACAGCTGCACAGCGACTGCCACAGCTGCCGCTGCCACCACTCCTACTAGCGTACCACTCATGTAGCTGCTGGGGCGAAAGGGTCACGCGCGGACGCCGCTATAGCTGCATCTGGCCACCACGAGAAACTCCCCACTGAACAGCTCCACAGCGACTGCTACTACGGCTGCCACCACTCCCACTGCTGCCACCACCGCCGTCACCACTCCCACCGCTACTACGAAGAGAATTCATAGCGGGCAAGCAAAGAGGCGCGCAACTAGTAGGGCAGCACGGATGGAAGGCAGGGTGGCGAGCAGGCACTAGGGTAGGTCAGGGTGGCGCACGGTCACGGAAAAGCGGCGCGCGGCCAGAGCAGAGGCGGTGCACGGAAAGGCAGGACGGGGCGTGGGGTTGGAAGAGGGGCAGCGCGCGGGCTACAAGGGCGGCGCACGGGCTGCAGGGTGGCGCGCAGGCTGCCACGGTGGCGCACGGGCTGCAGATGGGCGGCTCGCGAACAAATAGGGCAGGGTGCGGGACGCAAAGGGCAGTGCACGGGCAGGCAGGGGCGGCACGCAACGAGCAGGGCGACGTGCGGGGCTGCAAGGGTGGCGCGTGGGCTGCAGAGGGCAGCGAACTACCAGCAGAGCGGCTCGCGTATTTGCAAACGGGCGGCGCACGGGCTGAGGGCGGCGCGAGGGTGGCGTGCGTGGGGTGACGTGACACGGGGCAGGCAGGGGCAGCGTGCAGCAGGCAGGGGTGGCGCACGGGCAGGCAGGGCGGACGGGCGACGCGACGGGCTGGGGCAGCCTGCACGGGCGACGCAACGGACAGGGGCACGGCGGACGGGCGACGCGACGGGCTGGGGCAGCCCGCATGGGCAACGCGACGGGCAGCAGGGGCGCATGGGCGGTGCGACTCAACGGACAGCAGGGGCGCACGGAGTGACGGGCAGCAGGGGTACGCGACGTGACGGGCTGCAGGGGCGCACGACGCGGGGCAGCGCTACGCGGGGCAGGGCAGGGCGTGCGCGGGGCAGCGCGACGCGGGGCAGGGCGTGCACGGGCAGTGTGACTCAAGGCAGGGAAGGGCAGGGCGCGCGCTGATGGCGCAGCACAGGGCAGGGCGTGGGGTAGCGCGGTCACCGCAGTCGGTCACTAGCTAATGGTGGGCCCAAAAAAACGGTCCTACGCGGCCAGCAGGGCAGTGCGCAGGCTGCAAGGGCGGTGCGTGGGCTGCAGAGGGCAGCGCACTGCCAGCAGAGCGGCGCGCGTGCTGCAGACGGGCGGCACGCGGGCTGCAAGGGGCGGCGCGCGGGTTGCGTGCGCGGGGCGGGGCGACGCGGAGCAGGTAGGGGCGGCGCACGGGCAGGCAGGGCGGACGGGCGACGCGACGGGCTGGGGCAGCCCGCATGGGCGACGCGGCGGACAAGGGCAGGGCGGACGGGCGACGCGACGGGCTGGGGCACCTCGCACGGGCGACGCAACGGGCAGCAAGGGTGCGTGGGCGGCGCGACGCGACGGACAGCAGGGGCGCACGGAGTGACGGGCAGCAGGGGCGCGCGACGTGACGGGCTGCATGGGCCACGACGCGGGGCAGCTCAACGCGGGGCAGGGCAGGGCGTGTGCGGGGCAACGTGACGCGGGGCAGGGCGTGCACGGGCAATGTGACTCAAGGCAGGGCAGGGCAGGGCGCGCGCTAACGGCGCATCACAGGGCAAGGCGTGGGGTAGCGCGGTAACCGCAGTCGGTCACTAGCAGGAATGATTGTATTTAGCAGAAAGTTGATACAAGTACGACCCTAATTGGGTTGTACCCCATATAGGCTACCCCACGACAGACTAGACAACTCACACAGCATGATAGTTTGACTGGAACGACCGTGACGGGAGGAGGGTGAGAAGGAGTGGGTGATAGGGGAAGGCATGGCTAAAGAAGACGCAGCTGAGTTAAAAAGGGTACTTGCCAAGCATTAGGCGGCCTTCGCCTACTCGCTGAAAGAGGTGGGAAGATGCAACATGGCAGAGGTCACCCTAGAACTGACCATGGAGATCTTGGTGTACCAGTGGCGGCGGCGGATGACAGGGAAAGAGACATCGATACGCAAGGAGAAGTGTCAGGAGCTCTCGGAGGCAGGCTTCATTAGGAAATCCAGCTCAGACTATGCAGCGGCGACGGTGGTGGTGGCGCGGACAGATGTGACGGGAAAAGTACTCTCTAAGCAAATGTGGGGAGATTACAGAGGGCTGAACAAGGTTACGGTCATGAACAGGTACCAGACGCCGATGCCGGATGAAATTTTTGACAAGCTAGCGGAAGCGCTAGTATTCTCCATGCTAGACCTGCGGCAGGGATATAATCAGATCCCCATATCAGGGGTGGACAAAAAGAAGACGGCTTTTCATGGGCCGGACGGGCAGTACGAATGGAACTTCCTACCGTTTGGCTTGAAGTCGGCGTCCCCGGAATTCCAACGTATCATGGATCGGGTGCTGCGGGAGGTCCAGAACGCCGCGTGTTACATTGACGCGTTCAGTACAGACAACCAGTCATGCGTGAAGGACGTGGAAGTAGCCTTGACCACCATACAGGGAGCCGGGCTAACTTGCCATCCGAAGAAATGCGAATTCGGGTAGACCACGGTAGAGTACCTCGGTTTCAAGGTCGAAGGGAGGAAGATTGGGATTCAGAAGGCGAAAGTAGAAGTGCTGGACCGAGTGGCTACGCCGAAGGACAGAACCTCGTTACGGGCGCTGCTGGGGTTCTTGAATTACTACCGTAAGTTCGTGACGAACTTCAGCAGCCGAGCCACCGCGCTGAACCAGCTACTCAGGGAGAACAAGGAGTGGGAATGGGGGCCAGACCAGGAGAGGGCGGTGCAGGACCTGATGGGAGCCGTGGAAAAACAGGGCAGCGCTGGAATTGCCAAGAGCGGATTTGCCATTCACGCTGTACACGGACTGGAGCAGCGTAGGCATGGGAGTGGTGCTAGTGCAGATGAAAGGGGAGGTGGAGAAAGTGGTGGCCTTCGCGAGCCACAGCTGCAACGCGGCGGAGGGCAACTACTCATCGTATATAGGGGAGGGCTTGGCGGTGGTGTGGGCGATGAAGCACTTTTGGGTGTATCTGCAGGGCAATAAGTTTACCCTGGTAAATTATCACCAGCCACTGCTACGGTTAATGCAGACTCCAAATCTCACGGGGAGGAACACCCGATGGGCGATAAAGCTACAAGAGTATGAATTCGAAATTAGGCACCGGCGCGGGAAGACTACACAGCACGTAGATGGCCTATCAAGAAACCCATAGGACGTGCAACCGTCAGCCTGCCTCATGACGATGGCGAAGTAGGCGGATAGGGGGCAAGCGTGGGGGGAGAAGAAAGGGGGCCCTGCGGATATTTGGGAGGACCGGGAAGCCCTGGCATGGATTCAAGGGGCAACCACAGAGGAGGGGGCAGTGCCTGCGAGAGTGCGGGCAAGGGGAAAACACTACCGCTGGTTCAAAGGGCAGGTGCAGCTAAGAAAGGGGAGGGATGAAGCACGTCCCACCACCAGGAGAGCAGGAGGGCATCATAAGCGGGGTGCACATGAAGCTAGGACATTACGGACCCCCGCGGACGCAGCAGCTGGTGCAGACAGAGTGGTGGTGGGCAGGCATGCGA